AGGGAATGGTACTTGGACCTATTCTTTTCACACTCTATTTGCTGCCGTTAGGAAACATTAAAAAGCATGGAATTATCTTCCACTGCTATGCAGATGACTCACAGCTTTATCTGTCGATTGTTTCATTCTGTCCTGGTCCTATACAGAATGGGTCCTCATAACATACACATGTAACATCGATGAAGCCAAATCAGACGGATCAGTTGAAAAGGCTTAGTGCCTGCATAAAAGGCAGTATGACGTGTATGACTCTTAACTTTCTACTTCTTAACCCGGAGAAGACAGAAGTCATCTTACTTGGTCCTAAGCGTTTGCGCGACTCTCTTGCCTACCAGTTAATCACTCTTAACAACGTTCACATAGTACCCAGAAACACTGTGAGGAATATATATTATATAAACCAAGCAACTAAAACGGCGTATTTCCACTTGCTGAACATCGCAAAAATCAGGAATATCCTTCTTAAAAGTGACGCTGAATAACTGATCCACGCTTTTGTCACCTCAAGACTTGACTACTGTAACGCTTTGCTGGCAGCGTGCCCTAAAACCTCTTTGAAGAGCTTCCAGCTCGTTCAAAATACAGCAGCAAGGATCTTAACAGGTACCAAAAGGAGGGAGCACAAAACTCCGGTGTTAAAATCACTCCACTGGCTCCCTGTGGAGTACAGAATAAAGTTTAAAATTCTTATTTTAACATACACAGCCATACATGTAAATGGCTTGGCTCCTTTTTATCTTCAAGACATGTTAATGTCATATCAACCAAACCGAACACTGCGCTTTCAAAACGCCAGACGTCTGGTGGTTCCTAAGGTCTCAAAAAGCACTGTCGGCAGTAGAGCATTTAGCTACCAAGCTCCTTTACTGTGGAATCAGCTTCCCATCTACATTAAGGAAGTTGATACGCTCTCTACATTCAAGGCCAGGCTAATGACAGTCTCTTCAATCTAGCATTTGATTAGGTTTGTCCAGTCATGTCGTTTGTCTGGTCTTGGAGTCTGCTTGTACGGGACCCGGTCCGCTGCATCTTCAACCCTACGTTCTAGGCTAGGCTAAAACAGTCCTCTTTAGTTTAGCATATGGCTAGGAAGGTAAGACTCAGGGAAAGCTAAACTCCTTAGACTGTCAATCAAGCTGCATAGGGAGTCAGTTTGCTGGGAGAAGTATGGTAACTTGAGCACTATCCTCTCCTCCTTCCTACTTTATCTGTTTAGCATTATTAGGATTTGGACTGTAGTCTGTTCGTTGCTATTCACCCATTGTCCCATTGTCTGTTTCATGATACAACGACGGGACCTCTGAACCTGGCCTCCTCCATCTACACCTGCGGACTGCCCTGCCCAACCAGCCTGGGAGTGCTTCAGTCTTGCCCCGGACTTGTCCACGTTCTGCGGCCGCTGCGTGGCCCTGGTTCACGTTCTGTAGCTTAGGTCCTGGATCAATAGCCCGTCTGTCCGTGTGGAGCAGATCCCTCTCTCAATGTGGATCTTCCCGAGGTTTCTCACTTTTTTCCCACTGGAATATTTTGTTTTGTTTTTCCTTGCCGATGCAGGAGGGTCTGTTGGGCAGTTAGTGTCCAACAAAAAGGACTGTGGTGATGATTCAGGACACTTTAAAATTCTACAACATGTATGGACATTTATCAACATGTGTTCTATATTCTTTTTTGTGTCTTGACTGTTGATTCTCTGATCTGTGTTGATAATTTCATTGGTTTTGTTAAGTCCTCTGAGATGACTTCTGTTGTGATTATGGCCATACAAGAATAAATTGTATTGTATTGTGTATTGTATTAGTTTAAGTTTAAGTTGTTTGATTGTAAAAATGCACAAGGAAAAGGCTTGCCTTGAGGCAGGTAGTATTTGTGCCTCACTGCTGGGGTGCAATAGTGAGCATGAAGTTCATACCAGAATTTCTTAAAAACAATCCATCCAATATGCTATTTCTTTTACTGGAAAATAAATTATTTGTTTGAGGCTAAAATTCCTTTCAAGATTGGACTTTCCATCAAAGCTTGAAGTAATAAAAAATGGGAGGCCACCACCGGACTTGTGTTTTATGTTGAAAATTTACCAGATTCTTTAAAGACATCCGGTCTGGCTTGCGATCACTCGCAGATCACATAACATGCATACCCGAAAAACACCAATTAACTAACACTGCTCAAAAGTTCTGCAACTTTCTTGTTCATGTTCCTCGTGTCTGTCGCTCCTCTCCCTGCTCGCGTCTCTCCCTTCTTGCGTCTCTCCCTCCTCCTGGATCTCCCTCCTCTGGTCTCCCAGTCCTCGCGTCTCTCCCTCCTCCCGTCTCCCAGTCCTCGCGTCTCTCCCTCCTCAAGTCTCTCCCACCTTTGCTACTGAAAGATGTGGTGTTATACAGACAGAGAGACAGCAGCTGGATTTGTTGTGAGATTATTAAAAGATGCAGTTGTGGACGTTATTGCAATGGCGAATTAAAGCTATTTTATTAGAATGACGATTTAAAATCAGTGCCTCCCCAATCACAAACCTTACCGTGCTGGTCTGGTTGATACATATTAGGGCCTTTTTCTTATTGTGCTGCCTGTACTGTAATTGTTTTGGGATGCATATTATATTATCTTGGCAAAACCCAGCTCTACTGTGAGGTTCACTATAATTGACTGAATTATTTAAAATTCCAGCTACGGTTTGCACATTTGTCTGCTACTGTCGCCCACACGTCCATGTTGACATTCGGTTCGAGGACTGGTTTGACTCAACATTTTCGGATGCAAATGTAAAAGACATTTTCTAAACAAAATGTGGGAAAACTAAATATACATATATACAGTGTTTTTTTATTAGTTGAGAGAATTGATCCATCTCTAAGCCCTTTTCTCAGTGCAGTGAAATAGTAAGAATCTTTTTTATAATCTACGATTATTTAATTTTATTGAAAAATATGTTTTTTAATACATTTGCGTTGTCTCAGTCACAAACCCGGAAGTGTGATGTCACAGTAGGAACCGGCTCATTTGAAATAGACAGTGTTTCCAACAGCTAGTTACAAGAAGGAGTCTTGCACCTTTTGCCACATGTTTGAGCCCAATGCTTCCTCGGTTGAAGAGACGAGGCAAATCAAAGCTAATGTAGCGGAGTCCTGACGGATTAGACAATTCATACACGTCCTTAAGCAGGGAATAACAGGGCTGTTATCATATTTCACTTTTAACACAGTAGCTGGGGCGACAGTAGCTCAGTTGGTAGAGCATTGGCCTTTGAGCCTGAAGGTCGTGGGTTCAAGCCCACCGTAAGACCTACTTCACGACTCCCACTGATGACTGCTGTCGTTGTGTCCTTAGGCAAGACACTTAACCCCACTTTGCCTGAAGCCCCCACTGAAAGATCTCAGCTCCTGTGGACTCACCACCTGCAGGAGGATCAGTGAGGGGCTGGTGAACTGGGTGGCATCTCTGGCCACCCCCCCGACCCAGAAATGGATTAAGGGGAAGAAGATGGATGGATGGATGGATGGATGGATGGATGGATGGATGGATGGATGGATGGATGGATGGATGGATGGTATAATTTTTTTTCCATAAATATATGTGATAACCTTTAATAATTACTCATTTCATTTTAATGATCAATCTTTGAGGTTGAACACATAAGAAAGTTTGAATAGTGACTCACCGTCACCATCGTCTGTTATTACAGTAGATCCATGGTTAGTCCTGGCGCGGCTCGCTGCAGCGCTTCCACTGACGTTTCCATGACATGGTTATGAACGATGTTGTGAACCAAACAGAGTTTGGAGTTAGTTCAGCCTTGTCTTCGTCAACACGTGTAGTTTCTGACACACCCCAGTCTGTGACTCTGCTCCCTGCTCTCCTGCCGCTCCCGTCCCTCTGTGAGAGGGCGGGGGTGCTTTTTGCTTGTGTCACTTTTTGGGGTTCCCATTTTGTGCCGTAACAGTTTCCTGTGTATTTCTCTCCCTCGCCTCGCCTCCTTTTTCTTCTCCTTTGGCCATTATTCCAATTGTGTCAAGTGAGCAGTGCATTGCAACACTTCTGCTTGTCATCTTGAATATCCACCGATTTAGCAAAATGTGAACAAGCCTGATCAGTACGGAAGACATCTAGTTCTGTTTGACACAAGTTCCCACTGACGTCACAGAGCGAGAAGCGCTGGTTTGTTATTTCCCGTTTATATGTATATATATATTGGAAAAGAACTAAAGCTTTCAAAATCATTTTTTGTTGTATATATATACTGTATATATATATATATATATATATATATATATATATATATGATGGTATTCAAACTTTATTTCTAATAGATACTAACCCTGCATAAGTTGTATTACAATAATTGTTCAGAATATCAATCTGTTTTCTTGTTTTGATCTTTGTATTTCAGCCTTCATTCCAGTCACAAGGTCCTAACCCTAAACTTCATAATTACTCACAGCAACTGCTGAACTAATGTTATGAATAAAAATTTAAATTTAAATTTAAATACTAACGAATCCAGCCCGGACTCGAACACAGGTTGCTGGATTGTGAACTCAAAGGCTTAACCACTAGACCACCATCACACGCGACAGACTCTATCGTGGATGCAGCTAATTTAACTGTCAATGAAGAACGCACTTAAAGCAGCAAGTTTTGCATCACACGAAAAGTTTTATCAGTTATTTAAACTTCCAGTAGAAGTTTAAATAGAAAAAAATTTGTGAGAATAGAACATAATTCTTTCAAACCTTTCAAACCTTTGTTGTCAGCTGGACGGGGTATTTAAAGAAAAAATACATGGTACGTCTAATGGAGATTTCTTTGCTAAGAAATCTCCAGCTAAGATTACAATGATTTGACCACAGCCGCTTTTACACACCAAAAAGGAGGGATCTTTCACTATTCAACAAATAAATACTGGAGCCTTTTACAGAATTTTGGGACAATCAATGTCTGACAACAATTTAAGTTTGAATGATTACGAGTATAAAAAACATCAACATCTTGCGTGTCAAACTCACCCAACATGACGAAAGGTATTCCCAGGTAGGTGGAGTTATATGTGGCCCCAGTCAGGTTGAGAATTCCAGCAGCACTGAGTCCAGACAGGGTCATGGAGATCAGAGCCAGAAGTCCTAACCATGGTTTAGTCCTGACACAATCCCTCATTGAACAACACATCACCGCCAATAATCCACACATACCAAGGCTGGCCAGCAGAGGGTGCCGTGCAAGTACAGAGGAGAACTGGAAATCTGTCTTTAGAGATGAAGAAGTGGATGGATATACGGTAAGTTTAGGATTCGAACCGGCAAACTGCTTTAACTCTACGCAAAAAGCTTCCTCCCATTCCCTGGCTACTCTATCCATCAAACCTCCTCGTGATTGTAAGTAGTATGTTAGCTGTAGCGCCTTAGCCGAGCGCACTCCTTCTCGTAAAGCTGCTCCGCCATTGGCTACTCCTCCCAGCTGGTGTCCGATGTATGCACGCCGCCCGTCTGCCAGCTCTGTGATGGGGTAGTGTAAAGCAGGAAGTGTGCGGTTGGAGCTGCGTGCTGATTGGATCTCCTCCATGGCGTGGATGATGTCGTCGACAATGCAGAGGTTCCGGTCATCAAGGAGACAGAGGTAGGAAAAGGTGTAGTTGAAGCTGTTGGCGCCTGACGATGGAACAGTCACGTGCATTTGAGAGACTCTATGGTGCAGCTGTGAGAAAAGAGACAAGTTATTATTAGAAAGCCATCAAACAACTGCAAAGTGTAGCCGTGTGTTTCAAAAGACGCAGTCTCACAACACAAAGTGTGAGACTGCGTCTTTTGAAACCCAATGCAAAGGAAACAGCTCAAAGTAAAGCTGCTAAATTTATTTTTTAGACTAAAAGGTCTAAAGAGAAGTAAAGAATAACTTTATTTTTTTTGTTATCTTGCGGAAGCATTATTTTGATTTTCCAAATGTCACAATATATATAGATGTCAAAATGTGTTGCACACCTCAGGTCTAAGTCCTGTGTATTTCCCACACTTGTATCAGGTCTCACTGCTTAATATAAGGTTCTGTTAGTTTGGCCTGGCCTCGACCAATCAAAACAAGTCCTCAAAACCATTCTTCACTACAGCAGCATCTTCCATCTCTGCAGCCTTTCCATACTTTCTTCATTGCATAACATTCAGCTGTAAATATAGAATTAGATGGATGTATTCATTTATTTGGGTGATCAACAGTAGCTGATAAAAACAAGAGCCATTACAAACAAAATAATAATAGAAAATGTATAATACTAATGACAAAAATGCATCAGTGTTTTTTCTGGAGACTCAAAGAGGCTTCAAATGTAATTATTCATTCACTCCATACATACACGGTGGTGATAAATGACTACTGTAGCCCCTACTACCCCTTACTACTGTAGGTTGATGGTGGACCAACCATTCACACACATTACAGACTCATTTGAATGTGGGTGAAGTGTCTTGCCTAAGGACACAACCACAGATTGGCCACTTTACAGTAGCCACACCTAAATAATACAATCTAATCCAAACATAAAACCCAGGATTAAACGCCTCTTAAATGTGGTCTACAGATACAACTGTCGGACTCAGTGACCTCCTGTGTAACGTTAGAATCTCATAGTTTGATAAACATAGATCTTTGAGGGAGAGTAGCATGCTCCGCTTCCTCCAGAGGTTTTTTATGTTTCATCAAACTAAATGAAGTTATGCAAACAGACGCATGCTTATGGCTCAAAGAGATTTATTAGTCATCTTCATGAAATAGATAATAGCATTGGCCGCACAATACAGAATATCGTAACCTAATCTGTGGCCAGTGGCAGTGCACCACACATTAGAATCCATTATACAGAGAGCATGATCCCAAAACAGGGGTTAAGTAAAGGTAAGCCACACTCTAAGAACAGCACAACCAAAAAGTGGATTTCATGTAACCTAGATGGCAGTGTGTGTGACCAATCTTCTGCTCGCTGTGTAGTGTAAGCTAGTTGTAAGCTAGTATGGTAATAATACTGGGGCCCACCACAAGACTGTCTCCACCGACTCCCACTGATGTCTGCTGTCGTTGTGTCCTTGGCAAGACACTTAACCTCTGGGAACACCAGGGGCCACAGTGGGGCGGCCGCGGCTTTAAAGTGCCAGGTGTTTTGTGCTTAGGCAAGACATTTCACCCCCATTGTCTGGAATGAGACTAGTGTGTGTGTGTGTGTGTATGTGTGTATGAATGGTTGGTGGTGGTCGGAGGGGCCGATGGCACATACTGGTTGCCTCACTTCTGTCAGTGTGCCCCAGGGCAGCTGTGGTTTTAGTGGTAGTTTATCACCACAGTGTAGGGAGTGAATTAATAGTGACATACTGTATGTGAAGCGTTTTTGAGTGTCCTGAAAAACACTATATAAAACCGATGCATTATTATAATTATCAATAACAAGGCAAAATCCATTCACATAATAATAATAATAATAATGATAATAATAATAATGCGGTTTCATACAGTGCTTTACATGTCATAATTCTTTAACTACATACACAGTGGAGGTAAACTACTACCTTGCCACAGCTGCCTTGGGGCAAACGGAGCCAACTATCCTGTGCCATAGGCCCCTCTGACCACCACACACACACCAGAATCGTACTGGACAGTGTGGGAAAAGTGTCTTGCCTAAGGACAACAACAGCAGTTTGAAACTTCTAGCCACAACCGGCCCATTGTGGTGTTCCCAGAGGTGAATAGCCCGCATTATGGTAATATTTCAACGTATTTTGGTATCACAATCATCTGATGGTAAATCTCAAATTATTTGAAAACTCGTCAAAATTCACCAGAAATAATTCATTCAAGATTAAGTCAGAGTTCGTGAACCTATAACTGTCAATATGAAAATGCATTTGACATTTTAAATGTGACTTTCTGTTTTCATGTAGTTCAATGACAGTGGACTCTGACGCTGTTACTCTTGCGAGACAGTGCCAGCATCCACAAAGGCGGTAACCTAGCAACAGGCTGATGCCAGTCTGTGCCACAGCAGCAGTGTTTATTATGGGCTGGGCATCTGGAATCGCAGCAAAAGGAGAAGAAAGGAAAGTATCTCCCTTAAAGACCAGCTCAGATTTATACTGCAGGTGTGAAGGAGATCAATAGCACAGGGAGACACTGATTTATCAACTTTGATGCAATCCTCTCTTCTGGATGTGCCTTTGGAGAGTTACAACACGATTCTATCATGTAGGGTTGTGTTGGATTTTTTTTCATTCACAATTTAAACCAGCCCCACTGAGGACTGGTGGATTATGAAAAGTAGAATAGTGTCCAATGTTAATCTGCATATAATTGATAACCATAAAATATTTAGCAAACTCAACAAAATGGTGGTAAAATGTGTCTTTAAAAAAAGTAGCTGATGTGTTTTTGTTTATGATTATTGTTGGGCTGTTGCTGTTCTTACAGAGGACCAAGTTACAGAACATTTAAGAGTACATCATACATCTGGCTTTAGTTTCTCAGTCCTCCAACAATTACAGGCATTGAAATATAAAATTATCACAACAATTTCACTGTTTGTTCAATCGACTCACCATGTTTAGAATATCAGGGCATAAGTGAGTTCTATTCTATTTTTCAGCAGCACATTTTACATCTATATAATTTACACATTCAATTTCAAAGTGAAATATTAGCAATTATTTTATATATTTCTCAATTTTGAGGTAACAATTGTCCGTTGAAATATTCTTTTTTTTTTCCAAATACAGAATCTCCCATTGATTTAAAGATGTGTTTGGAAATGATGCATATTGTGAGAAGATTAGAAACGTTGTGGAAAACTCAGAGACCTCCAATCTCTGTGGGAGGAACAGGTGCTGAAAAAGCAAAATGTATCCTGGCTCGGCCCAAACATCCTCTGATCGCTGACTTTGTAATGATACCTTAAGGGCGTCGGTTTTACGCTCCAGCACGGAAAACAAACCGTTTTTCCAATTCTTTTGTCCCCTCTGCCATAAAACTGTTGAACTCTGGTAGAGGTGTTTGACTTTTGGGAATTGTGTTGTTAGTTGTTGTTTTTAACTTATATTGTGTAACCTGCTGCTGTGTGAACTGTGAGACTCGCGGTGTGTTTGTGTAGTGTGTGTGTTGAGATTATGCGACACATGAATTGCCCTTTGGGATCAATAACGTTTTCTGAATCTGTATCTGATTTGCATTATATTAAAGGAGCAGTATGTAAAACATCTGGCCAAAAGTGGTACTGCAGCCACTCTTGACTCACGTTGCCAGATATGCAGACAAATCCAGCAGGGACAATAACAGCTGAATAGACCAGAGTTTTGTCAACAACAAATCTATAACCAACACCTTTTTCACAAAGGCCCCGATAGAAATACTCATATTTTTCCTTTTGTCATTAATGATTTTAGACTCATAACGAGACCTTTTTAGTTCTGCGGCCACATGTTACTTTATTATTTTATTAGCTTGACGCTGTGAAAAAGCTGGGTATAGCTGTAAGTGAAGGTTTGTTGTAGATGAAGAGTCCATGTTGACATGAAAATCTTACATATTACAACTTAAACCTTTGATGAGAATGACTGTGCATTGTTTCAGTTTCAGCTGGTGGTGTGTCGTGTGTTTTAAATGAAATCGCTCACAAAGGTACACAACGGGTATATCTCTCCTTCTCTCTATCACAAATAATGTCACAAACAAAATGTGGCACATGTACTGTACACATTACAGCAATAAAACTGCACCATCAAAGTGACCTCTAAATACATACACAGACACTCGACTATAAAAGGAATTATTCATTATGAAATAAGGAGCAAAGAACATTACGCTTAAGTGCATTGTTATTAATGATACACTCAGGACTCCTGCCAGATTGTGTTCTAAATATTATCCAGATCACAATGCTGGAATCAAAGTACATACACGTCACATTCAAGTCACCAGAAGATGGAGGAGTTTTAAAATATATCTGACTTGTATGAAAACACCTTGAGGTTATTGTCTTAGTCTGAACGCTGCTGTAACTATATGGATTCATAGTTCGAACCCTGAGGCTAATTGGATTGAGCCTTCCATCATTAGTTACAGCCGGAAAGTTCATTTACCATCACCCCCCACTGGAACTAATGCTCAAAATAAACACAGACAAGACGATTACAGAGAGGTAATTAGTACGGAGCATTTACCCACCAATCAGAGGGAACCCAATGTATGTTAAAGTGATAGTCTGAAACTTTAAATGGATATATCTCTCAAATTTTAGGAAATGTGTTAAATTTACCTCCTGGCCTTAAATGTTGATATAAAATAAGTCATTTTATTGATTCTAATATTGCGGGCAAGTCCCGCCTTCTCTCTTAGCTATAGCTCAAAATCCACGATGCCGTCGAGGTTAACCAATCGAGTCATGCCAAGGACTGTCAATCATCGGCGCTGATGCTCGTAGCTGCGCATGCTCAGTTGTTTGTTTTCGCGGAGCCTCAAATCAAGCCTCTATTAGGCTCTGGAACTTCATGAAAACTGAACAAAGAATTCTGAACATCCGCGCTGAGTTACCCATTTATATACTGAACCTATATCCATAATCATTTATATACTGAACCTATATCCATAATCAGATCCTCTGCAGATGTGTCCTATAATGTCAATTAATGTTAATAGCTACTTCCGGCTTTACCACGATCGCTTTTTTGTGTGCATTAAAACATTATAAATGCCATGAAAACGTTAACAGATTAACAGATTCTAAAAACCTCCGTGCATGTGTATTAATAATGTATATGTGTATTAATAATGTTTATGTATAATGTGTTCTCAGATTTACATTTAAATGTGTCGATTGATTGTTACGGAAATGTAGGCGTAGACGAATCAGAAAGGAAGGGTCAAATTTGGTCAAATTAGTTTATTCAAAATGTTGAATGCAGCTGGTTGCCATGACAAATTTGAAATGAGCGCAGAGAAGTTGACCTCACTCTATCAAAATTGTTCACCTGACTAAGATTTTTGTATTCAATGACAATAGAATTGCAAATTTGAGATGTCGTTTTTACAGTGTAGAGTTACTTTACTTTACTTTCAATGCCAAAGTCAATAGGAGCCAGAGCAAGTTGTTTGGTGTGTCTTAAAAATACAATGTGTGCTTCTGAAAAAATACAGGTGTCTCTATTATAACTATTATATGGACTGACACACACCCACTTGCTTGTGTGGAAACATTTGTGTGTATTCGCAAACAATCACATAGTAGAACATTTATGGATATTTTCTCTCATTTATGGATAGTGGGTTCTCTGCGCCTTGAACCGATGGCTCTATGTGTTTTTCATCATTGCATATCTTGTGTTTGAACTGTTTGATTCTCTGATCTTTGTTAGTGAATTGACAGCTTTGTAAAGTCCATTGATATAACCACTGTGATACAAGAATGAATTGTATTGAATTGAATAGTACAGTGTATGGATAAAAAGGCAGTATGTTTGCCTCCTCAGCAGAAAGCAACTTGTCCCAGTGGCTTCCATCAGCGCACCGATGCAGCGCTTTCTCTGAGAGAAAATGGGTCAGTATTTAAATCACAGACCACCGCTGTCTTGTAGGAACTCCACTCACTCATAACTTCACCCAGATCATTTGGGTAATTGCTCGAAGGGAAATAGCTTTATGAATCCCATCCAGCTGAATACACAGTGATTGAAATAGGTTTTGTGGAATTTCAGATGGAGTATTTTGAGTAAGAACAGTCTGCCACTTGTTGCAAGAATGTGTCCAGGATTTGCTGATACGGAGGCAACAATCAACAATCAAGCTTTTTCATGTTCGATTTCAATATTGATACTTTTTAAGGATCCTGAACAGTGAAGGGACTGAAAGGGGCTATATTTTACTTAAACCCCAATAACGAGTTGCAAAATGTCTTCTCTAATCCAATTATATTCAATATTTTGTCACTACTCCAGGGATCACTGATTTTGGTTAGGCTTTGTTGATGACAGATCTCTGCAGGGAAATCTCAAGAAAAAATATTGTTATTTCCAACAAGGACATTTAAACAATGCACCTTTTATTAGAGATTATCTGTGAGCAAAACTCTCATAATTGACAAGAGATATGCAAAATGAATGAACTGCAGGATCCGGGATCATTTATGCTTTATACATATGCTAATAAGTCTACTTGAATTTGGGGCTTACAAACAAAGAATACTGATTAGAACTGCAATCTATTTCTAGAAAGCAACATGAGAAACCAGCGTAGTACATAGTTTACAGCTCTGGGGCAGACCCACTTGTTCGTATATTAGGTTGGATTTTCTTGCGCTTGATGAATCATCACAGTTTCAATCAGTTGTAATTCTTGGTCTACAGTGGTCCCTGGTGTAATGCGGGGATTACGTTCTAAAAACAACCATAAGTTAAATACGCAAAGTAGCAGCTTTTTATGGCTGTAAAACCCACACACACGTTATTCACTTTTCTGACCACCTGTACTCACTACAAAGATCACACCTGTTGGTTGTAGGTCTATTGCAGCCGTCAAAGCTGTTGTGCATACACTGTAACATACAGCTGCAGAGGACACAGGCGCAGGACTGAGGGCTACGGGAAGACTACGCTCATTCTTTGAACTAATCACTGCGTTGCACACACGTTTTTTTCTGATGTCAAATAAATCCTGTTTCACTAACAGTTTATGACGTTGTATGATATACAGAGTAGTTACAGATGATTAAACAAAGGCACCGATGTAAATAAGAGTTATTTTGTGAAACATTAGTGTACATGGCACTAAAATGATAGAAACTAGTGGCTCTCCCTGTCAGCGAGGTTCTGAGTTCAACTCTCAGACGGTTCAAGGCCTCAATCAGTGGATTTTGCATATTCTCCCTGTGTCTGTGTAGGTTCCCAGTGTGTCCCCGATTAGCACAGCACTATCAGACCATCTGATCTCAATATATGATGAAATACAAATTACTTCACTTAAAATATATTCATAAAACATTCACTGATAAAAATATATTCTAAAACCAACTTAAATGGAAATTTGAAAAGAAAAGAACAATGTTGAAAATTGCATTGATAATTCACCTGTATTTTTTAAATATTTAAATACCTCGAGTATGGCGTCCAGATGCGGCGGCTCGAGCACGCTGCCCTTTCTGCTGGTGATGATGACTCGCCCGTATCTCCGCGGCGTCTGCAGATCTGAGTACAGGGCGTGTTTGGACCTGTTGATGGGGAACAGGCTCTCCACCAGGTTCCCCTCGATCTTGGCCAAACTGTGTTTGGGCGCCAGCAGTCCCTCCACATCCTCCTCCACGTGGTACCGGCTGAAGCTGGCACCCAGCAGGACGGCCAGCAGTACGGGCCCCGAGGCGAAGAAGACCGGGTGCGAGGCCACAAAGCGTCCCAGGGCGTGGAAGGAGGTCCTCAGCCCCGCATGTAGCACCTGCCTCAGCATGCTAGCGCGGGGCGGCGGCTCCAGCCTCTCCCAGCGGCCTGAGCAGCGTCCCGGGACACTGCGCAGCATCAGGGGCTGGAGCAGGCATGGGGGGTCCGGGGGAGGGGCGGGAGGCAGGTGGCGACGGATGGTGAGACCGGTCACAAGGCGCAGCGAGACAGGCGCCTCCAATCAGAGACAGCAGCCATTCACTGGAGACAGAGGTTCAAGAGAAAAGAGTGACACAAGGGTGATACGAGGGTGATACAAGAGTGACTGCAGGTGGTGAGTTCACAGGAGCCTTGATCTCTCAGTGGGGGCTTCAGGCAAAGGGTTAAGTGTCTTGCCCAAGGACACAACGACAGCAGACATCAGTGGGAGTCGTGAAGTAGGTCTTGCGGTGGGCTTGCCCTCCACAACCTTCAGGCCCAAAGGCCAATGCTCTACCAACTGAGCCACTGTCGCCCCTCCGGTTTCCCCAAAACAGGCACCATAGGGAGAAGCCTTCAGCTCCAAGCCGAGCACAAACATCAGGGGAAGGGTCCCCTGACGTTTGCCCCTGGCAGGCTGCCCTGCTTAGAGGAATTGAAGGATGGGTCAAATACAGAGAAAAAATGTCCCTGCACGGGCAATATAGTGTACCAACCTACCTTACCTTATTCTGTACAATGGCAAACAGCGACACAGGAATCCAAACTGGATCCACACCAGCCACACATATGTCCAACTGTCTGGGGCAGCTGTGGTTACAGTTGTAGTTGCAGCTCACCACAAAATGAATGAATAAATTGTAAAGTGCTTGTGACTCACTGTCTGTGAATACATATATTGTGACTTACTACATTACACATTCAGATTGTCCCCAAACTCAACGAGTTAATTTACACAGTGCAGCATCAGATCGATGCATCTCTCCATCTCGTGGGTATAAAATGTTGAGGAATGTATAGTAATTTACGAGATTAAAACTGTGTAAATAGTTTAAACGCCTAAAACGCCTTTTAGGGTAATGGATGCTTGTTCCTGGAACTTAATTCTATTTTAATGCACTACTCATTCCAGCATTTGAAATGAATGTTATTTTAGCCATGTTGTCATTTATGGAATACCATCAACGCTAAATTGTACATTTGAATCATTAAATATTATAACCATTAAGTCTTATTCAGACTCCTTCAGGACTTGAATGCAACACATATTGTGTGCATTTCAAACTCTGACATGTTGCATATAGACTGCATAAGTCACATGTTTCCATCTTACCTTCACGCGGAGACCATCGCGGTGAAGTCATCCCTCATCCATGTGCTCTCCAGCCGGCGTCATGCGCACAGCTCCACCCTCCAAACCTCTGTGCGCAGTATGGAGCAAGAACAAAAGCCGTGTTTTTAGCGGCTGAGATCACCCGGTTCGTTACTGTCGCCTAAAAATACCACAGGTTTTAGCGGAGGAAAGCCTTGGTTCAAGTCGCTCCGGGGGCTGAGAGCCGAGTGCGCGCTGATCTTTGGGGAAGCCGGCTTTTGATTCCCGCCTCCCGCTCTGTGCTGCTCCCTGGTCTAGTCATGGATCGGGTCTAGTCCATCTCTCAGCATCTCTCCTGTCCACTCTCCTGGTTGCCCCGCCTCTGAGTGCGATCCGCTCCAATGCAGAGGATGCACAGTGCTACAAGTGTGAATGGCACCAGCACAGAGGGAATCTCTCTCTGACTGGAGATGAGGCTTTTCCACCTTCAACATTCAATCCTGAACCTGGAATTAATAACTGCGCATGCTGATGTAAAAAGTGTATTCGTCACAAATGGTTGGGCTCAACTACGCCTCAACAGTGACCTTTTAATGCTCATAACAGCATTAAAAACAGCGCCTTAACAGTGACATTTCAAAGGCATAAACTGTGATTATATTCTTTTTTTTCGCTTTTTTTTCGTGTTTGAAAACTAAGTGTGTTTGATAACTGTTTAAACAGTGTTCACTTACATATCCATCAGTTTGATAGTACAGGTTTGCATTGGTTTCACATGGGATTAGTCATAGCCACAGCTGCCCTGGGGCGCACTGACAGAAGCAGGGCTACTAATTGGTGCCACCGACCACCACCTATCATTCACCGCTAGATTTAGTGTATTGCCTAAGGACACATTGATAGTTTAGCATTTTATAGCCATCCCACGGTGCACCTGGTGTTCCAGTGGTTTCCCATCACAAGACTAACCATACCCTTCCCTACTGAGCTTCTGAGGGGATCAGTATTTGGAATGCAGGTATTGGAACAATCTGAACCATACTGTATCATCATTATCATGTAACAAGGAGAAATAGATTAAGTCTTCTAAATCATTGCTAAACTCACCAACATTGTTAACGTGGCTTAAAAGATCCACAGATTTCCAGTAAAAACATAATTTATACTTACACCTATAACCCAATACGATACAGCTGCTGACGTTCTTCGCACACATTACCAGCATGTCTCTACAGTCAATAACCAGGTGCTTCTACCTGGTTATTAGGAATTCTTGTGTTGGTTTGGTGCTACCATAGAAACACATCCCCTTTTTCTCACAGTTTGTGAGACGATCCTTCCCATTCCCCAAAGTCTTCACCTGCTGCTCTCAATCTGCTGCTGTGTGAAGAGTGAGGTGACAGGATCGACGCATGGAGCCGTGAACACAAGTCCAGTGTCCAACTTCATGTTCAGCGAGAGATGAGTAGAGATTATGTAGGAATATAAGTGGATAAAGCTTTATGTGGTTTTAATATGACATTCAGTAAGATTCATTGGACTCAATATTGTGTTTTGAATAATGTTGATTATAAAACGTTCAATTCCACCTCCAGACCTTTCTGTGTGGAGTTTGCATGTTCTCCAGGTGCCTGTATAGGTTTCCTCTGGGTGCTCCGGTTTCCCCTACCACTAAAAGCATGTACAATAGCTCTGGCAGCGCCCCCTATAGGCAACTTGCTCCAGCTCTGCATGGAGTTAGAGACAGATGTCCACAGCAATTGCAAAGCTGTTTACATGACAACTACAAAACATTTGCAATGCAAATGTCCAACATGAATTAAAAATATATGGCTCATAGTAATACATTAAAGCTGATTCATATTTGTGAGATGCTGAAATCTGAACAAACATATTTGTATATATTTTTAGGCAGCTGTGTGTCTGTTGCATAAGCACAGTGTCAGACTCCCAAGGGCAGTGGTCTAGTGTGTAATTGATAGACCTAATGCTTGTTTTATTAGATGTGATATATTTTCCCCTGGTATTTCGGATGCAGCGAGTCAGATTCATTTCCCCATATCTTAATGAATATTGTATGGTATTACATTAGAGCTATGGAAACTCATTTGGCATCTGGAGTTTTACAACTAATGTATTCTAACACAAGCTGCAGTATGTGGATAGAAAACATGGAACTGGCCTAAACAAATACTGATAAATGCACTGATAAGTTACATTTTTATATGTACATGTATTTCCAACTTGACCTCAAGCATGAAATGTTACAAAAGGCACAATCCGATAAATTAGAGATTCAATTCAAAACCTAAAATATTTTTCCAAAACATTTTAACCCAAGAAATTACCAAGTAAAATCCAATACTGTATGAAGCTATGTTTATTTTTTTTTCAATCAAAATAGATGTTCTAAGTAAAGCCCTTTCTCTTGCGCTGGTCCCATGTGTCTGTCCTCCAGTCGTAGGCCACGTCCCCGGAGTGCGTTTTATTCTCTCTAACACTGATGTTTACTTTGCACTTTCAGCTCTGACCTCTGGAACCAGCCGGACCAGACACTCCAGGGCATGTTCTGTTTTTTCCCTGTCTATCGCCTGTCCATCCAGCTCAATTAATGTGTCTGATATCTGACATTCAAGCTGCCAACTCCCCAACCTCAAAGACAAAATGTTTTCTTGCTTTGGTCTAACAGGTAACCACGGAAACAGAAATAAGTCAAAAATACACTCTCCAGATTGAAGAGTACAATGTACAAACTACACCGTGTCCGTTGTGTCGAGATGACTGCGGCTGCTTCATGCGGCGGGGTCTCTGAGTCATTTTTATAATCCATAACACTGTGTAAACAGATCATTCTCCAACGGCACATTTTAACACCTTTCACCTGTACCAGCACTTTGAGCTGAGGTAGTGCTAAACTGATGTAGTGTCCTTGGGCACCCACATGACTTACTGTGAGTCTGGTGAGTGAGTGAGTGAGTGAGTGAGTGAGGAGTGAGTGAGTGAGTGAGTGAGTGAGTGAGGAGTGAGTGAGTGAGGAGTGGAGTGAGTGTGAGTGAGTGAGTGAGTGAGTGAGTGAGTGAGTGAGTGAGTGAGTGAGTGAGTGAGTGAGTGAGTGAGTGAGGAGGAGTGAGTGAGTGAGTGAGTGAGGAGTGAGTGAGTGAGGAGTGAGTGAGTGAGTGAGTGAGTGAGTGAGGAGTGAGTGAGTGAGTGAGTGAGGAGTGAGTGAGTGAGTGAGTGAGGAGTGAGTGAGTGAGTGAGTGAGTGAGGAGTGAGTGAGTGAGTGAGTGAGTGAGTGAGTGAGTGAGTGAGTGTGTGAGTGAGGAGTGAGTGAGGAGTAAGTGAGTGAGTGAGTGAGTGCTGGTCGGAGGGGATAATAGCGTTTGCATGTCCTCCTCATGTCCGCGTAGGTTTCCTCCAGGTGCTCCAATGTTCCCTACCGCTAAAAACATGTACAATTCTCCCCCAGAACACCCTCCCTGACCCCCTTTCCCTGTCATAGGGCCAGGACATCCCTGCAATCTCAACAGTAGTTATCTCAGAGGACTTTACAAAGTTGTCAATTTGCCCACTCAGATCAGAGAATCAAATACAGGAAATGCAATGAAAACAAAAAAACAGCCATTGGTCCATGACGGGTAGATGACCAATGTCCATAAACGTTGAATGTCCTGGATAATCCCTGTCCTTGTAAAAATGGAAAGGCTGCCCCCAATTCATCAAATATACCTCTTACAATCCTTTTACTTTATTCTCAACTTAAATGCATGAGGCACAATAATCAGGCTCAATAATTTAGGTAATGCTGATAATTATTGAAAATGATTACTTGATCAACCCTGTACAATTGT